TATATATATATATATTACATTTTAATGCAAAGAATATAATTTTAATCATTCTAGAAAATAATGTTTTTCTGTTATGACTTCTTCAGGTACGCGCCTGCGAACATATATCATTCACGCCGAATCTCTTCGCTGCACCTCAGTGCCTTGGATATCGCAACGAACGTGGCAAAGCAACCATGTCTATGTGCTTACCATCATTCGAATTAATAGTACGCCATTTGAAACGTGTCATTCGCAATGGCAATAATATCAAATCGGTGTTTGTGGCATCTGACAGTAATCATATGCTGGATAAACTTGGAGAAGCTTTAGCACGTATGAAGGTAAACTTGTACATTTACCATATAATTATCATGTTATTAATGATTATCCTGTCACATTATCATATCTTTATATATGTAGATACCAGTATTTCGACAAGAACCGCCGGCATCACCTCATTTGGATTTAGCAATTCTTGGAAGAGCCAACTATTTCATAGGAAATTGCATTTCTTCTTTCTCCGCTATTGTAGCCAGAGAAAGAGAAGTCAAGGGATTTCCAACATTTTTCTGGGGCTTCCCTAATGAAAGATCTTTCATATCTCACTCAGAATTATAATTTTGTGAAATGTGCTGATGATACAAATAATGAATAAATTTTTACGACTTTATAATTTAATATATTAAATTTAATATAATAAATTAGTAATTAACATATCGACTTTGGAAAAAAATACAATTGTAATGCGCACAAAACAAACCGGGTTAAGTAGCGCAATATTCCGTAAAGTATATTTTTTAGTTTCCCGATACATATTTCCTGATAAAAAAAGTGTAGAAAACAAATCTGTTTGATCCACAAGGCATTCTATTTTGCTCGCCATTGTACAGATATTGCATATAAACGTATGAATCTCTTGATTGAACTTCCATTGCAGTAAAACTGCATATCTTTTTACAATATTATTCGCTTCCTATCTCTCGCATGTCGCACAGCGTCTGTTGTAAAACACGAGCAAAGTCCTTCGTGTTGGTCTTCTCGCAAGATTTAAACGAGGAACAGGCAAATAGAATATCTTTCGATCGTGGATTATAACAGCAACCGTAACCGTCGGGAACAACCGGTCCATAGCACATAAAAGATGCTGAAGTATATGGCACCTTTGAATAACAAAAAAAATTAATAAATTTTTATGCCTTTGTTTCTTTATTAGGATATATAAACATTTCAACTTCTGAAACACATCTTAAAAATTTTGGTTGAATTACCTGACTGGATGTTAAATTGAAATATGTACTTTTGGTGTAACCAATATCCTTATACAATTCCGGGAGCTCCATTCCTTCACTCTGCGCTATCATTTTTAAGCCGAACAAGTGCCGATCGACACCTTGGCCTATCGCCGCCTGCGCAAAAGAAATTGTAAGCTCTTTAGTTATGCATTAAATTATTAAAACATGATTAAAGATGCACTATAAGCAGAGGAATATGTCTCACTTGTCCAGCTATTTCTTTGTGAGCGTTTATAGCTTTGACCATCATTTCTTTCTTTTGTGCTTTGGTCTTGCAGCCAGCGTCGTAGAATAACATTTCTGCAAATTCCACAGATTCTGTGCAAGTAGATCTGATGCATTCGGTTCTGGCATTAATGAATCTTCGTAATGCTGCGCTTTCGTAATGCGTTGGCGGTTTCCTTTGCAAGTTGTAGAAGGTCACTTGCATCGCAATCTGGATAAAACTGTCGGGACTTAGTTTAATTGCTTTTATCGCGTCTGCACCGAACTTATCGAATGTAAAACATTCCATATCTATGTCATCTGAGAGTCTGAAAAGATTTTATTTATTATACTTCTGACGGCACTCTAGCGTGATATACATATTATCTTATAGAGATAATCAACCTACTTATCTACTGTATCAGTAGCTTTCTCGATTGCATTCTCTATAACATTGTTAGTTTCGAATTTTAATAGTTCTGCTCTGGGGAAGTCTTTAGAATCTTCGCGTTTTGCGCTATTTTCTCTTGCTGCTCTGAAAATGAGCAGAAATTTTTATTTATATTATGAGAAAAATGAATTATTTAGTGTGATTATTATTTACATGTATTTTAATATGTAATCATGAAGAACAGCAACAGGGATACCCTCACATGGGCTGTGTTCATATTCCATACCAACATAACCATCTGCGGATACTATATACTGTAAAATATTGGCCTTTGTTTATCTCAACATCGAGATATGATTTCAATATATCTTAACAATTTTAAATTGCATTTTGTATTTATAATTGTAGTTTATCATATTTATTAATCAAAGATGCTTCACCTGTACAGTTTTATCGTGCCACCTGTTGCCCGCATTTAGACAGCTGTTGAAGCCTGTCATAGTCTGAACTGCTCTAACTGAAGCATTATTTTTTTCTTTAAAAGCGTCTTTAGGTATATTTTTATCCAGGCACAGTATAAATAATGACGTTTCTATATTCTTGATTATACTTCTGTTATTACCCAATTCTGAAAAAATACAACATAATAATAATTTAATAGATGATAATTGAAATTATATGCAGAAAGATGTAGGGTAAAAGGATGCAATGCATGTATAAAGATAAACAAAAGTGAATTGAAAGAAACCTAAAAGTAAACTATGATCCTTTGCCCAAGTATTTCTGTCATTTCCAGTTAAAATTCCTACAGGCTTCCCTGGCATACATGAGCGATCTGCAATATCTTTTATAGCAGTCATGAATTTACCCTCACTTAAAATGCCATTTTTATCGACAACACAAAGTTTAAAGAACTGTAATATAAAACAGAATGTATCCAAGTATATCTCTTTCCATTTAAATAATTATACTCACATGATTATTGCTTATAATTATTATGTGTTTGGCCTCGTCTGTATGCAACAGTCTATCAATCATTTTGTTGGGCTGCCTATGTGTGCCAAGTATCATGCCATAAGGCTGCATGTCAAGCGGATCATTGCGAGCCATTTCTTGTTTCATCTTTCCACTGCAATATCGCGATGGTAGAAAAGTATATTAGAGAGAGATACAAAAGAATGTTATAAGCTATATAAAACTTGCCTCTTGACCATTTCATTGTAATTACATGCTCCAACAATGAGACGCGCCGCAAATAGATACACATCGTCCGGTCTGTTAAGAGCAATTGGTGGTCCAACAGTTCCAGGACTGGAATGTACAATCACAGGAAGACGATATCCCAAGTATGCAACTTGCAACCACCATTCTTTCATCTAAAAATAAATAAACATTTATTGTGGTACATTATCTAACTGATTAAAATATATATATATATAT